TTTGTCGGGCTGATACATCGGGATTTGGTTGTATCTCGAGTATACATCTATGAAGCTGAGTAGTGCATTTCCAATTGTCGCATCTACTAGTTGATCAATCCGGGGTAGTGGAAATCTGTCTTTAGGACACGTTTTGTTGAGATCGGTAAAATTGACGCAAGTTCGCCACTTGCCATTCGATTTCTTCACTAAAATTGGGTTGGCAAGCCAATTTGGATACTTCACTTCTCTTATAAAGTTGATTTTTAGGAGGTTATCAACTTCATCTTTGAGCGCTTGAGATCGTTCAGAATCCTTCGACCTTTTTTTTTGCCTGATTGGTCTGGCTTTAGGGTCGACGTTCAGTCGGTAGCACATCACCTAGGGATTTATTCCCACCATGTCTGCATGAAATCTGGCGAACACATCGAGATTCTGTTTCAAGAACTCCACCAATCTATTTGACAACTCGTTGCTCAAGGTACTCTTGATTTTCAAGATGCAAGTTGGATCTTCTTTGCTGACAGGAACTTCACATAACTCTTCTGTTGGACTAGCTAAAGGTTATTCTTTATGAGTATGAAGATTGATTGCATCTTCTAGTGGCTCGAGCTTCGGCCTTGTTTTCGCAATTACCATGGTCTTCAGAAGTGGCCACTTTTTGGCGGTGGTTAATGCCTTATTGTAGCGCTCCCTAGAGTCTTTCTGCAAACTCCTGACTGCTTCGATTCCGTTCGAAATAGGGAACTTCATTTCCTGGCAATGAACTGAGGTGATAACATTTAGGTCGTCTAAGAGCGGCCTCCCTAGCACAACATTATAAGTGGTTGGGCAGTAAACCACAAAGAGTTCTACCATTAATATCATTATTTGGGGCCTTTCCCTAAGAGTTACTGGTAGGCTTATTGTTCCCTTGGGGACCAAGTTGTCTTTGGTAAATTTGAACAGTGGTGTCAAGCATGGCTTCAGATTCCACTCGGTGAACTTCATTTCTTGGAAGACCCCTAAGTAGATAATGTTGACTGCACTGTAATTGTCAACTATTTTCTGGAAAACCTGGCTATTACCAATCCTTCTCATGATTACGATCGCATCACGGTTAAGGCGAGGTAACAGGTCGCCTTTTTCTTTTATGAAGCTTATTACTTCACTTTTAGCGACTTTGCTTCGAAACTCATAACTCGGGAAACCGAGTATGTTCTGGCTTCTCGCACATACTGTTCATGAGCGTGTTTGGAGTTTCTTGTAATGTTAGGTCCCCCATAAATCATTCTAACCATGATGTCGTCAGGCTGTGAGGACTACTAGTGTTGATTGTTCTAGACATTCTGCTTTTCACGAGCTTGGTTTCCCTTCACAAACTTTTTTAGATGACCTCTCCTTATTAGGTCTTCGATTGCATCCTTTAAGGCTCGGCAATCATTTGTGTTATGCCCAATATCTTTGTGGAATTTACAATATTTCTGCCTATCCCTTTTGTTTGGTGCCCCCTTTATTTTCTCTGGGGAGGCAATCTTCTATCCTCATGAGAGACCTCATAAATTTGAGCTACATCCTCTACCAAAGGAGTATACTCTACAAATTAACGAAAATGCTCTTTTTCCCAGCGAAAATCTATTCATTGCCTTTTTTGGAACCTACTTCAGTCCCTGTCACCTCGATCTTGGTCTCTTGTTTTGTCGATTGAGCAATCTTGCCGTTGGTCGGAGGCTTTTTTCGAGTAGCTGCCGGCTAAGGCTTCTAGTGAACTCTCAACTCACTGATGTTTGGCTGCCATTTGATAGAATTCGGCCAAACTCACATGATCTTCACTTTGGAGCTCTTTCTATAGTTCTGTTTGCAGCCTTATTCTAGCGATCAATAAGGTTCGGATTGATTCCTTTGGTGCATCTGCAGCTTTGGATTGCTCTTTCTGGAACGTCATTAAATACAAAGTCAGAGATTCATCTTTTTCTTGATGAATTTTGCTTAGGTAGCTGAGAGGCATGGCGAACTGTCCCCTTGCTTGGAATTGTCAGAGATACAGTAAGGATAACTACAGCCACGACTAGATCGAGTTCGCATTAAGTCTTTTGTACCACCTATTGGTGTCTCTTACTAAAGTTACTATGAAACAACAACACTTCGCCAAGTCGGAGACTTGATGCAAATCCATCAGATTAGTGAAAGTGTCTAGATGGTCTTTGGGATCTCCTTTCCCGTCGAACTTATTCTTTGGTACCCTAAATCCCTGGGGAAGTGGTGCCTGACGAACCTCCTTAGAGAATGGAGAACTTACTATCTCTTCCACCGTATTATTTTGGCAGATTCTCAGATCATTGAGCATTCTTTGCACTTGATATAACTTTGCATTATTTGGAGGGTTCTGTACATGAGCTCTATTCAGTCTCACCTTAAGCAGATGAGTTCTGAGATCGGTTGCTTGCAAGCTAATTCTGTCTTGTGCGCTTGTGTGTGAGGTGGAATCATGATAGCCGGGATAGTATGTACTATCATGCTCCTCAGCTTATTGCTTGCGACATTGGTTAAAATCGGAACGTTGGTTGTTATTATCAGATTGGTGTGCATGACTACTTTTGTGTGCCTACGAAGTATGAGCTTACCTTTGGCGTGGGTTAAAATCGGCATGCTGACGATAGGCATTTCATTGTTTCAGTTAAACATCCCCACGACGACGGCTATTCTCGTTCTGCCCCATAGGCTTCTTGCCTGGTCGCCTTTTGGGATTAACTTGTTCTCGAGCTTCGCACTCATGAGTGGAATGTACCCTTTCTTGTTGGGGATGACAGTTGCCCCTTGTTGCTGACGAACTGGATTGGTTGCCAACTGGCATATTCTGCTCGCTAGGGGTAAGCTTAGTGAAATATGGTTGGTCAAGATTCAGGTTGGTTTGCTACTCTTTTCTCAATTCCACCACATTTTGTTGTACTACTTGTTCAACCAACAACCTTATCATATCCATCAGCTGGCCATTCTTTGGGTTGGAGGTCCCTGCCCCCAGCTGATTGGCGACCTGTTGTGGTGGTAGCACTAGTGGTAGACGACCATGAGCAGCGGTCTGACTCACTTCTTGGTGGGCTGTGTCCACGTTATCGTGGTTTTCGGTGACTGCCTTGGATCTTGTACGAGCCATAGGGAATTTCAGGTGAACGGTTGTCATTGAAATTGTCTTTTCCTGCTGGAATAAAAGAGCTTGTCGGGGGCCCTCCTTCCAGCGCTAAAATGTTGATACAAAAAATCACACCAACTAGAGAGATCCGATTGACTGTGATGGAATCAGAACGGGTGTGTGTGTGTGTGTGTGTGTGATTAACAAAAATCAACAATGAGTAATGATCATAATGAACACAAAAGAATTTTTAAAGTGATTCGGCAAGTTGAATCTTGAGCCTACATCCACTGTTTTTCTTATTGAATATTGAAATTACAAAGAGAAGTAATTTCAGCCCAAAACAATTTGCCAACCCGTGATTTCAGTGATTGTGCGCTAAGATTGCACTGCTATCAATGCAAATAATATCTCCTCCGAGATATAAAGGGATAAAGCTTATCCTCTGATCTATTGAACATCTATCGAGATTGGTTGTGACGAGCTTCTACTGGGTCGGGCTTATTTGGGTTGCATTGATTTTGGGTCGAACTACAATTCTGCGAGCTTTTGAGATCTCCGAGCTTCCGAAAAAATCACACACAACAGGAGCCACCATTTATGCCTCAAGATTTGCTACTAATGCACTTTGTGCAATTCGCCGTAATGGTACTCGTAAGGCAAAGGTGCCGGAGAGGGTACCACCCATGCTGCTTCAGGAGCCAGTAGAGCTTGATTTTACAGCTGAAGAACAATAGGTAAATTGTCTTTAGCTATATGTATGGATAGTTTTGTTGTTGTATAAAAGAAAAAAAATTGAATTGTTCAACCCGACAAAGAGGAAAAAACATTGCAGAACAGCACAGTTTATGTAAATTAGTTTGTATATGCAAAACTCTCGTCCTAGTGACGGTAGAGTTGTTGTTCTAGTTAAGTAATCAAATGCAGATAAACAATTAAAACTTTTGCTGAAGTGAGAATGATGAATGTTGCGTCTATAATGAGAATACAAAGAAAATCAAACCAAAAGATTCTCTACCCACAAGTGCTTCCGCTTTTAATTTGGTTGTGTTGTTGGTCCTATTTTGAAAAACACAACCAGTCACCTATCTTCATATTTTAATCTTCAGATACTTTCTTACTTTCATATATACGAGCTTTTTATAGGTGTTCAAAATCATAATCTGCTCAAGCTCGGTTACTTTATATTTATTTAGTAAAATTTCACTTGTACATACCAGCTAGAAAATCATCTTTGTGTGTTTGCTTTTTATGTTACCAGAGGTGGAAGGATGTCCTTATTAATTTACAGCAGTAAATCTTTATACTCAAACCAGTGAATCTCAGTCCAAGTAAATGGGAAGAAACCAAAGTGGACAGACAGGTCGGTCCAATAAAAAAGTTGAAAACTTTAGAGGAGTCTCACCAGTGCATCACCCTATTCCTATAAAATAAAAACAAAAAACTTTATGGATGCTTTCAAGCTTGGAGTATGAGCTCAATGCCTATTGCAGACAAAAATCATGGTACCACCTTGGAAGTGGAAGGCATTATCACTTGGCTTCAATATTATCCCTGTCAACCATTTTTTTTTTGGGGTAACGGAAGGTGTGCACGATTGATTCCATGTATCCAAACCTAAAACTTTATCTTTTTTCATTTAATGTTTGCCCACACTTCTACCTTATAATATAACACAGTGAAAGATCTTTGCTAGATATGGAGGATCGCAAAAAGTCTTATCAAATTCCCGTGTTTTGGACCAGAAATAATATATAATTCTCCCCTCCTTCCTGTTGCTTAGATAACAAGGAAGAATAATCATTTGAGACTTGGCTTTAATACTAGAATCTCACTGCTGTCCAATTATTATATCATCGCTTTGTTATCCCTTTAACTCACCACCACGCCACCTCCAAAATTCTCCATCTTAATTTCCATAAGCTCTGATTTTTGAAGGATTTTCCTGCACTTACATATAAACTTGCTTGATTGAACATTCAAGTAATTTACTATTTGAAATTTGAAATCGATTCCAGTCGGCGGGCTCCAACCTGGAGCAGCAAAAAGTTGTCTTCATCTTTTTGAAAAAAAACACATACTGGTGGAGAAATTAAAGCAGCTAATTAGCATCTGATGCCATCCAGCTAATTGATCAATATTCGTTAAATCCCATTCGCCTAACCTGATTGCAGCACTATTTTTCAGACAAATTTGCGGATCGAAATTCAATTACTTTCGCCTTCTTCAGCATGTAAGTGATTCTACATAATAAGTTTTAGCAAGTCAGTTAAAGTCTTCGGTTTAGTTGTTTATAAGCTACTACTTTGTATTGTGCAGGTCGGCGGCTCGGCTTCAGGCCTTGAATGTAGAGGAAGGTAGGAAAGAAGATGAAATTCCAATTGAAGATCATGATCCTAAAGGGATTTGGAAACGCTTGAGTTTGAAAGTGGTAATTAAAAAATTTGACCTGGATTCTCGTTGGGGATACGGGACTTTTCTCACAGCTTATATGATTGTCATCTTCGTGCATCCTTTGCATTACTACTCTTATGTGATCAATCCCCAACAAAATTGCCTTGAAATCGACAATGAATTGTACGCCACGTTTGCCGTCGTCGCCTTCTTCAATACTTACATGCTTCTATACGTTCCAAATGTCATCAGAAAAATCTTTGCGGGAACTATTACTAAAGAGAAGGGGATAGAACATTTCATGTTTACTCAAGTACCCGTCTTGTTGATGACATTGGTAAGCTCAAATCTTTCACGATTTCGTTTCTTAATGAATAATTTCGGATTCTGGCTAAACTTTGTGCTGTAATCTATGCAGACTATACTTCCAGATTTGACGAGGGGAACAACGGATAGGATTTTCTTGACTACAACGAACTTGTTTCTTTTCGGATACATGCTTCTGGTTATTGGACTCTCGATAACTATTAGAAATGCCTCCAAGCGTACAGGTTTCATTGCTAAAGCCAAATGGGCAAAAGCAGTGTTCAATCTTTTCCTTTACTTGCATGGAGGTCATGTAAGTTTTAATTCAAATTCAATCATCCCTTATTTGTTGTAATTGATGAATAAATTCTGACTTTCTGGTTCTGAATTTAGGTATTTGGAGCAATTTGGTACTGTTTTGCCATCGACAGAGTTCTCGTATGTTGGAGGGATGAGTATATTTTCAAGAATACATTGAAATTTGGTTCTTTTGTTTGTGGTAATCAGAATTTAGAGAAGCTAAGTTGTCTTAGAACGGCACAAGCTGGTGGAAATAATACAGATTTTGGAATATTCAAGGATGCTCTTCAATATAGAATTGTGGAAATGAAATCATTTCCGAAGAAATATTTATTCTGTTTACGATGGGGTCTGCAAGTTCTCAGGTTTGTGCGTATCTTTTCAACTTAATTGATTTGGGGACTACATTATTTATTTATTTATTTTTGCAGTTGTTTCGGTCAAAATCTTGAAGCAAGTACTTTTCCCTTGGAAAATATCTATGTGATTTCTGTAATCATCTATTCCACGCTACTATTTGTGTTTTTAATTGGAAATATGCAGGTTGGTAAATGTTCTATTTATCTCAATATCCTTATGATTAAGCACATTAAATTTAATTTCTATATACGAATAATGCTTCCTGTGAAATAGACATATCTACAATCCGAAAGCGAAAAACCAGAGGATATCATAAAAAACGTGAAGATGGAAGAACGCTTAGAATGGTTGAAGAAAGTGAGTACCTTTCTTTGTAGCCTCCTTCAACTCCAAACTTTTACTGAATTATTCTCATAGAACACAGACATTTAGAAAATCTTATAGCGCAACTCTATTGACTTTAAGGCAAAATAATTTAGCTTTTGATTTGAATCCACAAGCATTGGTTGGATGTTGGATGTATTCTCATTCTTGTTCTTAAATGCATATCAAGGTAGAAGAGTTGGGAAATTGGGAAGCAGCGTTATTGAAAGAGCTGTGTTCTCGTATCAAGCCAGCTTTCTATGGTGACCGAACTCTCATTGTCCGGGAGGGGGAACCGATCAGTGAAATTCTCTTCGTGCTGCAAGGCAAACTAGGGACGTACACCTCCAGTGGCACTGATCATGGCAATAGCGAAAATATCATTGGGAAAGAACTTGTCAGTTGGATTCAGGCTCACCCTCATTCATCCAGCCTCCCAATCTCAACCAGAACTGTTCAAACGCAACAGCGTGTGGAAGCCTTCGCTATTACGGCCTATGACTTGAGAGACGTATTCAATAATAAGCCAAAACCATCACAGAGGATGAGCCCGAGATCAATCCTGAAGAGCAACAGATTTATCAGATGTTTCCATTCATGACTTTTCAGGTAAGAGACATGAAACATTCCACAACCAATCTTGTACATTCAACTATTCTTTCCCGTAAAATATACAAAATTGAATTTCTTATTTTCATTTTAAGTTTATTATTTTCTGAAAACAGAAACAGAGAAATTCTTTGAACGCTTCCAAGCTTGGACTATATATGAGCTCAAAAGAGAGACAATAATTCATAGCCCGATCCAAACAAATCATGGTACAGCTTTGGAATTGGAAGGCGTTATCACTTGGCTTCTATATAGCCACGGCATATTTTGATCTAAACTTTCCTTTTTGGTATATATAATTATGGCTTGTGATACACAGTAAAGCTTTATATATCTTTTCTATTTATTCTTCCTCACTTGTAAATTATAGAAGAAAAGACCTTCAATAAAGTCAAAGAGATGTAACCTCACCAAAAAATTCATCTCTATGATCGAGACAATTGAAGATTTCTAAACTAATTCAAGTTGTCTCCATATTTTTTTACTGTTATTTTCAGAACATGATATAAAATCCCACATATCTTCAAATGTTGATACGAAAATCGCACTAACCTGAGAGAACTAATTGACCTTGACGGGATCAAAACTGAATTAGAACCTGAGTCTACGTCCACGGTTATCTTATTGCTTTAGAGAACTTACAATAACGAATATATTATGGCTAAAAAATTCTACTAACCCCTTTCTCATCGTTTGAGAGAGTTTTTATACAAGTTGTGATACCCCAGTGTCTATGGAATAAATCCTCTAACGGATGGTGGTACATGTGATCCTTAGACTTGAGATCACGGGAGCGCCTTGTGCACCAATTGGTGTAGTTTAACACTAGCCCAACATAGTTCTATTCAGAGCTATCAATACAGTAGTGATTGGCTACACTGAGAAGTGTATTGAGACTATGGTGGATTGACAAAGGATTCATCACTCTTGGGTACGGGAGAAGTTATCTCATTGGGTAATTTAATAAATGGCAATGACACTAAATCTGTAGCCACAGTGGGATTGAGTTGATGCTCAATCCAATTTAATATTCCTGTCATTGGTTCGGTAACTGAATACAAACATGTCGATGATATCTGAGGTTGACACTATTTTTGTACCTCAGTCTCGATGAGATAATAGTTGATGATAGGATTTGATTGCACGGTAACCATATCATTGATAGGCTGCGGTTTTGCTGAATCCGAATCTATCGGGTGGCCATGATGCCTTACTAGGGGCCAATCTTGGTCTATGTGTAGTGAGACGATTAATTGGTATTAATCTCGATACTACTCACTGCTGATATGACAAGGAGCCTACGAGTCACACACTTAGAAGATAATTTAAGAATCCATTTGTGAGAAGGGTATTTTTGTCTTTCAGGATGAAAGGGTATTTTGGTAATCTCACAATGCAATTAAATTTGCTGAGGTTGTTGCTTGTATTTAATTTTAATATTAAAATTAAATTAGTGAGATTATATTTAAATATATCTATGTATATATTTAAATGAATTATTATTATTAATTGAATGTTAATATATTATTATATATTAATTGATTTTAATTATAATAATAATTAATTAATTTAAATACCATAAAGGGTGTGTTTGGTTGCAAGGTTTAACTAGGGTTGTATCCCATTTCTATTCCTAAGTGGAATAGGGTTTTAATTGTTGCACTATATAAGTGCAACTTAAAATTAAAACATTAGAGAATTATTCATTCAATTAAAACCCTAGTCACCTTATCTCTCTCTTTCTCTCTCAAGAAGAAAACTTTTCTTGTTCTTCTTTCTTGATTCTTAAAGCCCTTGCTTGTTCTAGCAAAATAATCAAGGGTTTTGCAGATTATCTTCATGTGGACTTCCGTGAGTACGATCCTACTTTGGATCGATTGGCCAAAAAGTCACGTGAACAGTAGATGGTGAACAGTAACTGTAAACAGTACCCGTAACAGGGTTCCTATCCGAAATCAGAGATATTCGAAGGAGCCTCCAAACGTACGTAAGTATTCTAATCCTTGAATGAATTTACTTTATACATATTTTTGTTTATAAACATGTAAACGATATAATCTATACTCGGATCTAGGCAAAGAAAGGTAATTGATTTACCAATTGAATTTTTGTTTTCCGCTGCGTATGGTAGATCAATTACTTACGGAAAGAAATCTCGAGAATGTTATAACTGGGCCATACACACAGAACAAAAGTGGCTATTCCTAAGAACAATGGTTATAGCAAAATCCAAGCCAAACCCTGGACCACTCGAGGATATAATAGATCCTCAAATCCATAGCGAAGATCCCGCAACAGGGCTAACAAAAGAGCTACGAGAAATAAGTGTTAGCGAGGAAGATCCAACTCGTGTACTGAAGATCAATAGCAGTTTGAGCAGAGAAATGGCTGATAATCTGGTGGGGTTCCTAAAGAAAAATCTTGACCTGTTCGCATGGGTGCATGCGGATATAGTGAGGATCAACCCAGAGGTAATGTGCCACAGGTTGAAGCTTGACCTTAAAGCTCGGCCCATAAGGCAAAAAAAAAAAAAGGTCTATAATCAATTAAATTTCAAATCATTTAATTAATTACTAATGTTTAATGTTTATAATATAATGTCATAATTAATTAAGTAATCATTTAATTATGTAATGTTATAATTAATTAAGTAATATACTATTTAACTATAATGTAATATTATAATTAATTAAATTTCTAATCATTTAATTAAATATTGTACTAATGTTTATAATAGAATGTTATCATTAATTAAGTAATCATACTATAAATTTATAATGTAATGTTATAATTAATTAAAATTCTAATCATTTAATTAAGTATTGTGTAAATTACTAATGTTTATAATATAATGTCATAATCAATTAAGTAATCATTTAATTATGTAATGTTATAATTAATTATGTGATAATGAATTAAGTAATCATACTATAAATCTATAATTTAATATTATAATTAATTAAATTTATAATCATTTAATTAATGTACTAATGTTTATAATGGAATGTTATAATTGATCAAGTAATCATATTATAAATCTATAATGTAATGTTATAATTAATTAAATTTTTAATCATTTAATTAAGTAATGTAATAATGTAGTAAATTACTAATATTTATAATGTAATGTTATAAATTTATAACTAATTAAGTAATCATTTAACTATGTAATGATATAATTAATTAAGTGATCATAATATAATATAATATAATAATGTTATAATTGATTACGTAATAATTTAATTAAGTAATCATTTTTTTATAATGTAATGTTACAATTAATTAAGTAATCGTACTTAGACCCGGCAAAACGGGTCTAGACCCGCGAGTCAGCCCATATCCGGTAAAAAACATAGGGTATAGGTTTAATATGTTGGACTCGTTTTTTTTTCAACCCGTACCCGGCCTGACCCGTATTATTAACAGGTTATATGGGTAAACCTGCAGGTACCCATTTTTTGCAAATCTGAACCCTAACCTAGGAACCCTAAGTCCCTAACTCTAAAACAAAATAACATTCTCTTCTCTCTCGCCTCTGAATCTCTCATAAGTAGACTCATTCATTCTCTCAATCTCTCATCACTCTGTTCACTCATCACTCATCAGTCATTAGTTAAGTGTTAACCTCACTTGACTTATTCATTCTCTCAACTCTCAATCTCTCATCTGTGAACTGTGATCCCATTCCTAGACCCACTGTCGCTGATCGCCCTCACTCATCCTTGTCGACTCGTCATATCCTCTGTCTGTCGTCGTCGGGCGTCGGCTCGTCATCTCCTGTCTCTCTCCGTCGCAAGACTCGCGGCTCTTCTCCCCACCATTGCAGTCATAGATCGGTGAGTTGGTTTCCCCTGATTTGTTTTTCTTAATGTTACCTTAAATATTTTGCTATTTGTTTGGTCATTTGTGCCTTAATTTCAAAGCAGTTTCATCCAGTGTAAGAAATGTTTATTACTTGCATGTTGATAAAAGAGTACATGTACTAGTTTATGATATTCTTCCTTTTCTTTCGAGGTTTAGTCTGAGTGGTTAACGATGTAATTTAAATTAATTTGAATGCAGTTTGATAACTTACATATGGACGACGGTGCTCCCTCCCTGATAGGATAATGAGGGAAATAGTAGTTGTTTGTGGTTATGGAGATGTGGTAAAGGGGCTGTACCACTGCTCTCAAATGTTTCGTGTAGGTGCTTTAGTTGTGGTTATAGAGATTGATCCCCTTTTTGCTCTCCAGGCCTTATATGTAGGGCATTCTTGTCTTAATAGTTGATGATGTTGTCTCCGAAGCAGACATAAACATTGATTCCTCATGAAAAAGATGAAGAACAATGCCATTGGTAGTAACATTAGCCATTTTGAAAATGAAATTATCATACAAGGTCTTGACAAGTACCTAGGCATTGAGAGGATCAATATTAAGCCTAGGACGAACAAATGGATCTTCCCAGAAGTAAACATTGGCCTCATTGTTCTTGTTGAAGGCTGCCCAACTTATTAACTTGGGTTGTGTCATAGGCCACCATCCTAGATTTGTCATGTCAATGTCCTTGTGAATGTTTTCATGGAGCAGTGGAAGGAGAAGTACATAGACAAGTATGAGAAGAAGGTTTATATTCATAAAATTAAGCTTGGCATATTCTAGGTTGTATGTATGCCTATATATGAAGTCAGCTCTTTTTCAGATATTATTAAGAGAATTCTATTTGTGGTTTGCTAGTTTTGGATTATGCTAGATTATTTTGCAATTTATATTGACGTGATGGGATTTATCATTTATATAATGTTGTTTTCATGGTGTACAACTCTTTCCTAATGAAACCGTGACTAGAACTTTAAAATACTAAGTAATGAGAGTGTCCTGTCAGTGTATGTTAGCGTATTTTTTCTATTGTTTTGCTGTTTTGATTTCAAAGAGTGCTGAGAAAGGGTAAGGGAACTTAATGTTCCTATTTGTTTATATTCTGAATTGAATTGAATTTAGAGTAGTTGCTTTAGGGGGTGTAAATATAAAAAATTAAAACTGTAGGAATTTTGGGGGTGTAATTGTCATAATTGAAAACTATTAGGGGTGAAATTAAAAACTGAAACCTGGAGAGAGAAAAAATGGGTACCCGCGTGTCCACCCGTAACGCATAGGGTAGGATACGGGTCCAATATTTTTGACCCGTATCCGTTTGACCCGTATCAGTGAAGACCCGACCCGTACCCGACCCACCCACCCGTTTTGCCAGGTCTAATCGTACTATAAATTTATAATGTAATGTTAATATGTTATAATTAATTAAATTTATAAACATTTAATTAAGTATTGTGCTAATGTTTATGTAGTAAATTACTAATATTTATAATATAATGTCATAATCAATTAAATAATCATTTAATTACGTAGTATTATAATTAATTATGTGATCATACTATAATGTAATGTTATAATTAATTAAGTAATCATACTATAAATCTATAATTTAATATTGTAATTAATTAAATTTCTAATCATTTAATTAATATACTAATGTTTATAGTGGAATGTTATAATTGATTAAGTAATCATATTATAAATCTATAATGTAATGTTATAATTAATTGAATTTTTAATCATTTAATTAAGTAATGTAATAATGTAGTAAATTACTAATGTTTATAATGTAATGTTATAAATTTATAACTAATTAAGTAATCATTTAACTATGTAATGTTATAATTAATTAAGTGATTATAATATAATATAATGTAATAATGTTATAATTTAATTAAGTAATTATTTAACTATAATGTAATGCTTAATTAATTAAATTTCTAATCATTTAATTAAGTAATCATTTGTTTATAATGGAATGTTATAATTAATGTTTATAATATAATGTCATAATCAATTAAATAATCATCTAATTATATAATGTTATAATTAATTATGCAATCATACTATAATGAAATGTTATAATGAATTAAGTAATCATACTATAAATTTTTAATATAATATTATAATTAATTTGTTTATAATAGAATGTTATAATTAATTAAGTAATCATTTAATTTATAATGTAATGTTATAATTAATTAAATTTTTAATCATTTAATTAAGTATTGTGCTAATATTTATGTAGTAAATTAGTAATTACTAATGTTTATATTATAATGTCATAATCAATTAAGTAATTATTTAATTATGTAATGTTATAATTAATTATGTGATCATACTATAATGTAATGTTATGGTAAATTAAGTGATTATACTATAAATCTTTAATATAATATTATAATTAATTAAATTTTTAATCATTTAATTAAGTATTGTACTAATGTTTATAATGAAATGTTATTATTGATTAAGTAATTATACTATAAATCTATAATGTTATGCTATAATTAATTAAATTTCTAATTATTTAATTAAATAATATACTAAATGTTATAAGTCAATTAATTAAGTAGTAATCAATTAATGTAATGTTATAATTAATTATACTATAAATCAATTAAATAATATTATAAAATTATAATTAATTAAGTAATCATTTAACTATAATGTAATGTTATAATTGATTACGTATGATATTTAACTAGTAATTAAATTTATTAATGTATATCAATTTATCATATATAATTAATTAATTGCTAATTTACTGTAGATATACTTAGAATTTGATAATTGAAGTAAATAACTAAATATATTATTATTCAATCAAATATATTATTTTATTTAAAAATAATTCTTTTAATAACATTAAAACACTTTTAATTGGATCCTAATTCTAATTATATACTTAATAATCAAAACTTTAATATTAATATATTATAATATATTAAAGTTTTTAATATGGTGTAGTTTATATGTAATAAGTATAATTGTATATTTATTTAATTAGGTTATTCTAAAAATTTAACTTTTTCTATTTTACTTTGTATGTAAAATAATGAAACCCCCCATTATTTACAAATATTTGATTGCAGCCCAGGTTCCAAAACAAGTTCCAAAAATTGGTTCCAAACAGATTCTAAACCGGGTACCCGCTATAGGTTCCAAGCAAGTTCCAAACCGGGTACCTGTTTCAGGTTCTTTTTCTAGGTTCCGGTTCCGGTTCCTCTACACATAAGAACCGGAATCGCACAATGTCGGCTCCAATAAAATGGAACCAAAACCTACCCGCACAGTGCCGGTTTTGGGTAGGTTCTGATTCTGATTCTAGTTCCGGTTCTACCCTCTACCCGTGCTCATCCTATGTCCTATTAACAATTGATAAATTACCATTTTAAAATAGTTTTTATTTTTAAAATATATTTAACATATATACTAAATGATATTTAATGTAAATAATAAATACTTCAAAATATAAAAATCTAATCATTAATAAAGATAAATTATATATTAATTAAAGAAGAATGTCCTGTCACTTTGTATACTCAAAGGTTGTATATATGTAATTATAATTTTCAAAAATATTAAATAAGATGTTGGCTGAATGCCTTTTCACTGTCCAATTACTTTTATTAATAGCTGGATCCCATTTGAACATGTTATCCACTATCAAATTAACATTAAAGATTAAACCCAAACAAAAGGAGAGAAGGGAAACCCATTTTACTGTCTTGTCCAGACAAATTACATCATATTGGTCTCAAAAGTGCACCACTAAATCTAAAACAAAGACTTTTGGAGTGCAGGGCAACTACCAACAAACAAATTTAACATCAATTACAACTACACATGGGCTTTGCTTCTTTTAAGTCAATGTGAACGTGGACAGAGTGCGATAAAAGGAAAGAGAGATTAGTTTGGGATTGGGATCACATCATTTACAATTTTCGTGATTGAGCCTTGAGATTGCGCTGTGAGTGGTGAAGCTTATCTCTAATTTTGTTGAACAGCTGCAAGGATTGGTTGTTGTGACGAGTTTCATCTGGGTCGAACTTATTCTGGATCGAACTGATTCTCGGTCGAACTTATTCTTGGGCCAAGGTTACTTTGGGTCGAATTACATCTCTGCAAGCTTATGAGAGCTGCGAGGCTGCGAGCTTTGTGGCCAAATTAGAGACAACATATACAACTGTAAAATGAATAAAGATGAAAAGATATTTTTTTTTTTTTTTTTTTGGGTCGATGAGAAATCCTCAAAAAGTTGAGCAAGGGACCATGTTCCTGATTATCTGCATATCAATCCATTGAATCACGAATTTCTTTATAATAAGTAATCAAAAGAAAAATTTTACGACCACACTACGTTGAGAAACAGGAGTGATTCTCTTATCCTCTATAACACTGGCTAAATGGGTCGAGTCAAATACTTACCATAGCATTTTGTTTTCGGGTGATATAATATATATAAGCAACAGAGGCGCCTGAAATTCTCTTGTTTTGGTGTGATTTTTACATTCTTCTAGATAATGTAGGTGAAAGAATGATAAACTTGTAGTCTATCATTGGCTTTTTGGTGTTTCCAAAATGTACATATGGTAATTGCACATGAACAAGGGAGAGCAACAAACTAAAATGTAAATTACCAATGTTTTGTCCAGGTCCCCCAACTCGAGTTTAGAGGAAGCTACAGAAAGGAAGTTTTCCCGGAAACTTGGAACTGAGATTGAATGGATTAGAAGCTTACCAAGATCTTGTTACGGCATTGTGACCAAAATCTTGCTGCACATGAAGAAAATTGACCCGCAGGGGCCTTTGGGTTTGTGGATCTTTCTTATATTGTGCGTCATTGGCATCTCATTGGATCCTTTGTTCTTCTACATTCCTGTGATCAATGATGATCAAAAGGGCCTTAAATTTGGCGAAAAGTTGGGGACTACTGCCATTATTCTCCGTTCGGTCTTTGACTTCTTTCATATAATCTATATTATCTCTCGGCTGGATACTGATTTTTTTGCTCCTTTTTATAAGCTATATGGGCAAGCAAATTTGCATAAAGACGCTTGGACTGTAGCCAGGAAATATTTGTTGCGTTTCTTTCCAATTGACCTTCTCGCCATTCTTCCACTGCCACAGATAATGCAATATTCTTTTCAGCTAAATGTTGTTAGCTATATTGACACTTGCCTACTTATATAGACTCTAAACTTGTTGGCCTTTGTCCAGGTTGTGATTTTATTATTGGTTCCAACAATGAGAGGATCGGAACTTTTTACCGGAATGAAGTTGTTAAAATTTTTCGTGTTTTTCCAATAAGTGCCGAGGGTACCTACCCATTGTTTATGAAAGCTACTAGGATTTCAGATGTTTTTGATGAAGCTATATGGGCCAAAGCTGCATTCAATCTTCTTCTTTACATGCTTGCTGGTCATGTAAGTTAATTTATCATTTATTTATTGTGTTATAGATCAGAGATAATACCCCTATTTGGTGACTACAAGTTTCCTGATAAATTTTGTATCCTGGAAATTTAATTATTTGGCGTATCATTCTGTTTGACAAGTGACTTGCTGGATCTTTAGGTATTTGGAGCCTTGTGGTACTTTTTTGCCATAGAATGACTGTACGCTGGAAGAATGCCTGCATAAATCATACTGGATGTAGTCAAGGTTCTTTTAACTGTAATCAAAGTTCAGGAGACTACAAATTTCTGAATGATTTTTTTTCTACAAAGACTCAGAACACGGTTGCTTTTGATTTTGAAATGTTCGATGATGCTCTTCAGTCTGGTATTGTGGAGGTGACAGATTTTCCACAGAAGTTTTTACATTGCTTCCAATGGGGTCTGCAAAACCTCAGGTTTGTTGTATGTTCTCTCATTATGAGTTATCTAGCACAGGTATTGAACCATAAATATAGTAATATCAGCCCCTGCATGAATCTTGTCTTGGTTTCTGTTGGTTTTTAGAGCTGGAATATACTAAGGAAAGAGGACCATAAACAGACGTATGAGAGAGCTGTCGAGAGAGAAAATCTGAACTGAAATTTGCTCTGTTTTACATTCAAAAAACAGGGGTAGTTTTATACAAAACACACGCCACTGTTCCACCTAAAGCTGCAAATTTAAAATTTAAACTAAACACACCAACTAATGCACGTACAAACATATCAAAATACATCATTTTATCAACCTAATTCACCTAAACACATCACTGAAATATTTCTTAAACAATGACCAAAAAACAACTTCTGCATGCACAGCAGCATTTCAAACCGTGGCGCCAAAATCTTGCAACTCCCACCGTGTGTTGACTTCATCATTTCCAGCAAGATATCATCATCTTCAACACTCCTCCTTGATATCATTGCTGGAAACACCAACTCTAAACTGAAGATATTCAAACTTGACTTTGGACAATGGCTTAGTCATTATATCAGTAACCTATTCTTCTCTATTAAAAAGAACTCCTCCTTTATTGCAGCTTCTCCATGCATCAAATTTGACCGCCTCATTGTAGCTTGTTGGTTCTAACTCAACCACATTGCACCTCTCATAAATTTTAGATATTGGCTTTGTACCTCTAACTGGAACTTCATCAACTTCATCTGAATTCACTTCTTCAATCTGACTTTTGGGCATTCTATCTTGCTCGAAGCTTGGCTTGACTTTAACCTGATTTTTTTTTACAGTTCCAAATAGCACATTCGTCCACCTTAACATCTCTACTAATTATGTTAGTTGAATGGTTTTGAAAAACAACCTTTCCCCACTCTACCGGGAAGTTTTTTCTTTGCATCTTAACGCTCATTAACTCATTCCCATCATGTTCTATAATGACACATGCTAAGTTTTTAAAATGAAGAGAGTAATTCCTCTCAAGCATTTGTCCTACACTAAGTAGGCTTTGACTGATTTTAGGAACAAATAAAACATCAGATATAATCTTGGTACCTGACTTGGTTTGGACAGAAACATTTCCCTTGCCTTTGACCTCCAGCAGCTCTCCATTTCCCACTTTAACTTTAGACTTGTAGCTTTGATTTAAGCTCACGAAATTGGACATGTTTGGTGACATATGGTTGGTGCAACCACTGTCAATTAACCACACCCCTTGATCAAAATCAACTACACATCCTGAAGCCATAAACAACTGCTCAAATTCTTGAGTTTGTTGTTGATTCTCTACTGTCTGGGATTGATGCTCCTGCTGCCCTCCTTTGTTCTTGCACACCCTTTCTGCATGTCCAAACTGCTTACAAGACCTGCATTGTATGCCCGGCTTGAACCAACATCTATTTTCAGAGTGGTTCTTTTTCTTGCAGTGAGGACAAGGAGGAAAGGTTCTCAGTCCCGCATTTTTTCCTTCTTCGTTGTTAACTTCCTCCTTTCCCTTCTCTCCAGCATACCTCCTATTTTGGCTTGCTATCATGGCTCCTTCACTTGAGTCTTCCTGCCTCTAGTCTCCTCTGCTTTTGTGCTTGAAAAGCATGCATAAGTTCTGCTAAGTTGATCTGGGACAGGTCTTTGGAGTCTTCAAGTGAAGAGATTTTTGCCTCAAATCGCTCAGGTAAACTGACCAAAACCTTCTCTACTAACCTCTTGTCAGTCAACTCTTCACTAAGTAGCTTAATCTTGTTCACCACATTCATCAACCTATCTACATACTCCTTCACAGACTCAGCCTCTTGCATCTTAAGCATCTCAAATTCTCTTCTCAGGTTTAGAATCTGCATGTTGCGTGTTGTATTGCTGCCCCCAAACTCCTCATTAAGCTTATCCCAAGCCTATTTAGGAGTTTCACATGCCATAATCCTGGTGAAGACTTGGTCTATCACTGCTGAGTGTATGTAAGATAGGGCCCTTGGTGCTTTAGACATCTCCTCTTCATGAATCCTGATTTGGTTCAGTGTGGGGTTTGCTCCCAACTGAGGAACTTGCTTCTCCTCCTCCACGTATTGCCACAACCCATGGCCTTTTAAATAAGTCTTCATCTTGACAGCCCATACATGGAACTGATCTCCATTGAAGATGGGTGGAGAAAGTGAAGCTGGAGCTGAAGCCATGAAGCAGATTACGTATGGTGTTAGTTTTGTTAAGAGGTTTTTGTTTTTCCAGGTCCTGAAAGATCACAACAGCTTTGATACCAATTGTTGGTTTTTAGAGCTGAAGATACTAAGGAAAGAGGACCATAAACAGATGTGAGAGAGAGCTGTCGAGAGAGAAAATCTGAACTAAAATTTGCTCTGCTTTACATTCAAAAAACAAGGGTAGTTTTATGCAAAACACACGCCACTGTTCCACCTAAAGCTGCAAATTTGAATAAACTAAACACACCAACTAATGCACGTACAAACATATCAAAATACATCATTTTATCAACCTAATTCACCTAAACACATCACTGAAATATTTCTTAAACAGTGATCAAAAAACAACTTCTGCATGCACAGCAGCATTTCAAATCGTGGTGCCAAAATCTTGCAACTCCCACTGTGTGTTGACTTCATCATTTCCAGCAAGATATCATCATCTTCAACAGTTTCAAACATTTTATATAAAGTACTTTGTCTGCCCATAAAATTTTCTTACTCTGTAAAAGTTACAATTCTGAGGACAATGTCTGATGTATTAGTCACATTCAATTTCTTTTCAGCTGTTTCGATCAAAATCTACAAAAAAGTACCTTCATCTGGGAAAACTTCTTTGCAGTTTGGATTACCATTTCTGGTTTGGTGTTGTTCCTCTTTCTCATCGGAAATATGCAGGTTGGGTGAACATTTTTCTGTTTCTTAATTATCTCTGATATTATTGCAATGCATATGATTGATTAGTTCTTAACTCTCATGAACATCAATATTTTCTTAAATTCTGGACTTCAACTCCTGAAAGAATGAGTCTACCAGAAGGGAAAATCTTATAAACTCTTACTAACTTGATAGTAGAAGGGGGAAAAAATCATTTAATGGACCCCTTCTGCCAAGAATTGAAGTTCAGATTACAAAAATGTGCAAAAGTACATGCCTTGGATAACTCAATCATAAGATTAAGTAGGAATAAACTGGGAAATTCAATCATAAGTTTTAAGTACAATAAACTTTACTTTCTATGAATCATTCTTCTTGTGAAACAGACGTATCTGCAGTCCAAGACTATAAGATCAGAGGAGATGAGATTGAAGGGGAGAGAGATAGAGCAATGAATGTCCTTCGGCAAGCTCTCTAAGAATCTGCAACAACAGGTTAAGAAACACCAGAGATACATTTGGCAAGAAACCAATGGTGTTGATGTAGACAATTTGCCCAATAATCTTCCCAAGGACCTTAGAATGAACATAAAACGTGAACTCTGCTTAGAACTGCTAAAAAAAGTAAGTTCCTTTTTCATTGTCGATGCTCCAATGTAGCTACAACCAAAGCATTTTCTCATTCTTTTTCTTGGATGTAATATGAAGGTAGAAGAATTCAAAAAGTTGAATGAAACAACACTGGATGCGCTCTGTGATTGTGTAAAGCCAGCTTTCTACATTGAGCGCACTCACATAATCCGAGAGGGAGACCCAATTGAAGAGATGCTCTTCATAGTGCACGGCAAACTATGGACCTACACCTCCAAGGCTAAAACAACTGCCTCTGCCTCTGCTTCGGAAAGCACGGAGCATTGCAAAGAGAATAAAAATAAAAATTGTAAAATTAAAGATCATCTGAAAGATGGCGACTTCTGTGGAGAAGAATTTATTGCATGGGCTCTGGATGAACCCTCCTCATCCAATCTCCCTATGTCAACAAGAACTATTCAAGCGCTTACTAAAGTTGAAGCCTTTGCTCTTGTGGCAGATGACTTGAAAAATGTATTCATTAAGTACCATCTTTCGAGCTCTTGCGAATTGAACTTGAATCATCCGATGATTCAGGCAGCTCGAGTGATACAAGATGCCTGGCGTCGGCATCATACTTCAACGAACTCATGAAGGGCTGCTGGGGAAATGGAACCCGGCTTGCAAGTTATGTAATCAGGTGAAGCTTCAGAGCTACTTCAGAACACTACCGACTCTGTCTCAGTAGCAAGCAGGGCCTGAGATCAACAAATTTGTGTTTATGTATTAATTTGTATCCTTGATTTTGTTTTAGTCTTGTATTAATTAGGAATACTAAGATCTTCCAAGAAATGTTTGGAGTTGAAATTTCCTTTTTGCTTCTTGTTTTGCTAGTCCCCAAAGTGGCCAATAGTCTAAAGTATCACCTCTGGCCATCCGTTTGGAGGATCACCTGACTTATCAGTTTTTTCTACACTATTGTGTTACAATTGCAGTATTAATTTGCTGGTTTGCAATTAAATATTAACTGAGCCAGATACCCTGAGGGTATTTCTCATTTGGTTCTTGATCAATTACGCAAAGTCTAGGATAGAATAATCTATGTTTGACAGAAAAAGTAACCAAATTCATAATTGAAAAGTATGCATATAAAATTGAATCATACAAGACACACAAAGTTGAAATGATAAAAAAAAAAAAATAGTTATGAGCTCCATTTTCGGTTTCCAAATGCTTTATCAAATGGAGCAGCACCATTTTATTCTGGTAAGTAATGAATAATGTGTGTGGATTTTTTTGTTTCTTTTGTCCCTCAATTTGATGCAGGATTCTTAGGCCTTAAATTTAAAATACTGCGACCAAAACAAGGTTTGCTGGAAAAACTTGCAGCAATCTACAATTTGCTTCTTTTACTAGGATCATTTCATTGTTGATCTTGTAAAGTTATTTTGTTAAACTTTCGATTAATCAGTGCTTGTGTTTTGATTAGGTCTCTGGTCGAAGATTTGATGGACTTACCAAAATATATATCGAAACGCTGGCTTAATGTGAAGAGAATGCTTGACTCACAAGGTTCTTTTGGTATTTGGATTTGTCTCATATTTCTTGTGATTCGTCGTATCAGAGTAAATGGCGATCGGGAGTAGTGCCTTAAATTAGACAAAAAGGTAAATATCAGGCTTTTTGAAGGAGGCCGAAAGAAAATTGTGCAGAGTTGGGCTTAGTAATATCAGCCCAGATGAGGATGGTGTGGGTTTGTATAATATAGAGCAAATATTATAACCATCCTACAACTTTAAAAAAGTATCATATTCGTACGAATGGAAAGTTATAGACTTTTAAATCAATCACCAAATAATTTATTAAAATTAGTGAAAATTTTATCCTAAATTAAATATTTCCTTAATTTTTAATTAAAAAAATAAAGTCTATTTTACCTCTAGCTAATTTAATACATTAGCAAAATAGTTAACTAAAATAATAGTTTGAAGTATACAATGACCAAATGTCCTATTAACAATAGATAAATTACCATTTTAAAATAGTTTTTATTTTTAAAATATATTTAACATATATATACTAAATGATCTTTAATGTACATATCAAATGCTTCAAATGTATTAAAAAAGAATTATATAAACAAATACCAAATATTTTTAAAACCATACTATATATGCTTATGAATAATATATTCTTAATAGAGTTTGTGTCTTACGTCTAGTATACAAAGTAACATGACACACAACGATTAAGAGAGTAAAAAAATATAAAATAAATCATTAATGAAGATAAATGATACATTAGTTAAAGAAGAATGTCACGTCACTTTGTGTATATAATTATAATTTTCAAAAATATAAAATTAGATGGTAGCTGATGCCTTCTTACTGTCCAATTACTTTCATTAATTCAAATGTGAGGTGCCATAACTTCGAAATTAATTATCTAGTATATATCATTCCAGTATAAAATAATGTTATGCCTAAAGATATAAGGGCTGACGTCAGGACCCTTTAGCCCGCAAAAGTCGGATCATTGGAACAGCCACCATTTACATCTGTCAGGATAGTGGGCGCACGTCAGGCTAGTCAGGAGGCTGTGGTGCTCCCACGTGTCCAATCCCTGCTCTAAATCGCGCAAATCACTCTGGAAGGTAGGGAATGTGACATAAAGAAGGATTTGCACGGATAATCCCACCAACTCGCAAATTTAGTTCTGATTGCCTCAAAGCATCTGACTATAAATTAGGAATTCATCTCTCATTAAGGGGATTCGCACATTTTTTCACTTAATTAATTACTCTCTCTTTTCTCAGCAATTGATACCTTGTAATAGCATTATAAAGTCAGTCAGCTAATAGCGACCTGACCCCTATCATCAATATAAGCATTAGTGGACGTAGGACTTGCTACCTTAGCATCCGAACCACTTTAAAAACTGTCTCCATTGCATTTACTATCTCTCATCCATTACTTTCACGTGTGATTTCGGGGCCCCCTGCAACATTTCGCACGTGCGTTTCGTTGGTGCAAAATCCCGCATCAACAGTTTGGCCCTAGAAGGAAGAGTCTGATTTAGTGTTCATCCTTCATCAAGAGAGTCTCCAACCTACCAGTTCTATAGCAACGAATGGCCCGCCAACCAGAACATGAGCAAACCAACCAGGGCACTTAGGGGTCCCCCCAAGTTTAGGGGGATACCTCTTCCAAAAAACCTTCAGCCCCGCAGAATGCTGTGGGAGATATCCCGTCAAGCTGTGCTATAAGAAGCTACCTAGAGAGGTTTGACAATACTCTCCAGACGGTCAACCAAAGGTTGGACCGTTTGGACTAAGGCGCGCCATCCAAGTCAACTGCGACGGTACAACCGCCAAAAATGCCTGCAGGTCGCGCGAAAGCACGGCAAAGGGAAATAGCCCGTGCCGCGAGCATTGCAGCGCGAAAGCGAAAGGGTAAGCAAGTGGCAAAAAGCAAGCCCACAGGCTCCAAAGGGCCAGCAAACACCGACCGCGTCCCAAGCAGAATACCAGTCTCATTGAGACTCGGTGAAAAGACGCAGCCTGAGCTGTCCCACGCCACGTCGTAGGTACATACCCATAAAAGTGCTGGACGGGTGATTCTTATCACCGTCAGCAAGCCAATCCTGGTCGCCACCGTGCGAGAGGGTCCCATACTTCGCAGGTGGTTCTTACCACTGCGAAGGTCGTGAGAATACCCCGCACCTCTCATCGCCATCGCATGCCTCTAGTCAGCGTGTGTCGAGAGTGGCTGGAACCGCCAGCCGAGGCGAAGAAGAGCCCGACCTTCGAACATTCCTCAATCGTAACCGCGAGAATAGAACTCGCGTGGGTGAAAGCAACCCCGAAACGGCCACACTGCCACAAATTGAAGAGCTGCAGCGAGCTCTAGACAGGCTAAGGGCCCAGCAAAATGAGCAGGGACAGGTCGCATCTACGTCCCCCTTCTCTCCCGAGGTGTTAGCCGCTCCACTCCAGCTAGGATTCAGGATGCTCGACATGCGGGCATTTGATGGAAACTCCGATCCGTAGGATCATCTGTATGAATTTAATGACCTGATGGAGCTTCACCATGTCTCAAACTTGGCAAAATACCGCTGTCTAGCAGCAACATTAACCTCCCATGCCAAACGATGGTTCAAGTCGCTCCTAGTAGGGTCGGTCAGTTCGTGGCCTCAGATGAGCACGACGTTCCTCAGGCATTTTCAAGCGAATCGGAAGTTGTCAATGCCTTTGAGCTACCTTAGCAACATAAGGCAAGAAAGGGATGAATCCCTTCAGTCTTACATTGATCGTTTCCACAAGGAACTCAACAAGGTGGTTCATACTCATGAAGAGTCTGTTCGGACTCTCATTATAGCCAGGGTTCGCCCGCAAACCGACCTGTGGAAGGAATTACAAGCTGAGGACGATGTCTCCCTCACAGGATTCTACAACCTTGCGAAAAAATACCTTCGAATAGAAAATTCGTTGGCGGCACTACGCCGTTGTGACCCCGGCGTATCAAGCAGTATGTTTGGTCGGGGGGAAAGTAGAAGAGCTGATCGCAAAGGGGACGCTGACGATCAGCGAAAAAGGAAGAAACCCCGCTACGAGCACAAGAAATCCTATGCTCTTACTCCTCGTTGCGACCGCGACAGGGTTCATTATACTCCATTGAATGTGTCTATATCGGCCATTCTTGATAAATCTGAGGAGGCCAGTCTGCTCGGTGAGCTAGAGCCAATGAAAACTCCCGCGACAGCCAGAAATAATAAAAAATACTGTTGCTTCCATCGGGACAACGGGCATCACACAGATGAATGCCAAGCTCTAAAGCAAGTGATCGAAGAGCTCATCAAGAAAGGGCACTTCAAGGAGTATATTGATGACTCCACTCCTGCAAAAGAGAAGAACCAAGAGGAACAAGGAAGAAAGCGTCGTGATCGCAGTGGGTATAGCAGCGTTAACATAATCTTTGGAGGACTGCACCTCGCAAGATACACTCGAGGCGCACAGGAAAGGTACGCTCGCAAAGCCTATCACAACCCGATCAGGGTGATGAGCACATCGCAGCAACCACAAAAGGCTCGAAAGGAGGAGCCGATTGCCTTCTACGAGAAAGAGGCATCTCGTTTGCATCATCCTCACGACGATGCCCTTGTGATCACGCCCCTAATAGGGTGCCATAATGTCCGCAGAATGCTCATGGACAACGGAAGCGTTGTGAATATCCTGTTCCAGACCTCTTTCGAAAGAATGAACCTGAACGAGGCTGACCTGAAGCCCACTTCAATCCCTCTTTACGGCTTTACAGGGGACCACCTAATCCCCAAAGGAACGATCCAGCTCCCAGTCACGCTCGGTGACTAGGACGAGGTGACTAGGGTTACTGAATTCTTGGTCGTGGATTGCCCATCGGCCTTCAATGGAATCTTGGGGCTATCTCTGCTGAGAAGCTTCAAGGCAGTCATTTCCATATACCATCTCAAGATGAAGTTCCCAATTCCAACGGGGATAGGGGAAGTGAGCGGATCGCAAAGCGCATCTCGCAACTGCTACATAAAAGCAGTACAGATGGCGTGTAAAGGAAAGGACATTTCACGATGTGTGCCCTGCCAGGCTATGATGATCAGCCAGATCGAACCACAGCCTGGCC